TGCATTGACTTGGAAACGTAGCGTTCTGCAATGTTTGCACAATTCAGGAACGCATTGCGCAAACAGGGTGCCGACCAACACATCCTCAAGAGCGTCCGTATTGACTACTGCAGTACTAACTTTCCCTATCAATTTTCCATCACTGTGGTCGTCCGCAGCATCAGCAAAGAATGCCGGTTTAACTCATTCGAACTCGGAAACAAGTTCTGATAACGGGCATTCTTGCCCATCTAAGTTATCCATCTATGTGCAAAATGCATGTACTTGCACTCGCCCATAAATTTGCAGTGGACATGCGAATAAACGCATGGAAACATTGAAAAGCAAATTGTTTGCACAATTACCCGTCTTCGAGCGTGACATCTGCTACGACAGCGTGCTTATACGAATTGCGTAATCTGGTAATGAGACCAATGTCTAGGACACCATATTGCATAATTAGAATGTACGGCATCTGAATGTACAAGAGCAAAAAAAAGCACTTGTATGGCGTTTCTTGATGCAAAATTCCTCAAAGCAGCTGCCATGTTGTAAAAAGATACTGTTCTAAGAAGATCTCGATTTGGCACAAGTAGACAAAACCGGATGCACTTGCAGCGCATTGAATTGGCATAATCTTTGAAATTTCCCTGTCCGGTTGTTCCAATTTACAATCCATAATAAAATCCCCTACATACTATCGTTGAAAAACACCACACATTACTTCTTACTTACATACCATTAGTAAATATTCAGGAGCGTTCATTATTGTACATGCTCACCTCGATGCTCCTCTCCACTTTTGCGAACATGTCTTGAATCTGGCTGTGCCAAGCCGCCTCCTCGAGCCTACGTTGCTGCAATATAGACTGAAAAGTTGACGAGCAGAACGTGAGGTGACCCCGAATGTGATGCGTGCCCATGCGGTGCTGCCGGCGTCCCCTAGATCATCCAGCCATGACCAGATCCCTAGCGCCACTTGGCGATCACTCGAGTGAGTACAGGTGAAATCGAGAGTCAGCAGCTGTGTAATAAAAAGTGACAATATCAATGATATTGTACCATTTCCCACTGGCTTGACGATGCGATGAAGGCTAGTCCACGGACTCGCTATGGGCATTGGTGACAACATGACCATTGAACAGTTGCATACAGGTTTGACCATCGACAAATTTATGTAAATCCTGTGGCAATAAAACCCGTGTTCAGTCTGTAAATCCTGTGGCAATAAAACCCGTGTTCAGTCTTACGGGAATTACCAGTTGAGTTATATACTAGCAAAGTTACATAAATTACCAGTACAATTCTTTCATGTTACTATGATATTACAGTAACAAATGGGTACGGAAAAATCTTTCACATTGCGTAATTTAGCCATGTTTGGGCCCACCTGTGTCGGCTGCCCGAGGCATGTACCATAGATCATGTAGGATAGCGTGGGGGCTATTGAATAGTGCGGGGGACTTTAGATAGCGCCCCCGGCGTTATCAAATATGGCCGGGATTGCGGATTGTGGGCGTACGGCAACATAGCGCGGGGGCATTATTTACTTCAACATCAACGTACGACCACAATGCAAAGCGCTTTCACACATTCTCACATCTCGTTGCATATGCTAGCACCCCAAGTGTTATCAAGTTCGATCCAAATAAACGCTGCCATTACATTCCTCCTTCAACCAAACACCGTGTCCTCAACAATCTCAGTGTCTAGCTCCGTACTGCCATCACTCAAACCAAGGTCATCGGGATATCCAGGCTGTGTCTGGTGCAGTGCGACGTCCCAATAACTGTTATTGGTTGGCGCTGTGATTGGCGCCGTATGCAATGTTATGTAATGCTGTGTAATATGCGCCAGTTGGCTTTGCCAATGAATCTGGCAACGCGGGTGGCGCGGTATCATGCAGCGACCTGTGGCGTCCCTTCACCTTTTTTGGTGCCGATTTTGGTTGCTGCCGTGAATGGCGCCTTATGTAATGTACTAAATTGGTGGGGCGCCGGCACGCTTTGCTGCCGGTACAAGGGCCAGCGCGATAACGCGGGGGGGGGGGGGGCGGGGGCGCTATTGAGACGGCGACCTGATGCGAAACGCAGGGGGGTGGGGGGCGCTGTCCTCCGTGATCTATGGTACATTCAAAAGCTGAGTGCAGGGCGCAAGTCATGCATCCATGTGGTGTGCACAGCGCCGCTTCCCCTACCTCCAAATGCGTATGCTCGTTTCTAGCAAACGTGACGACATCAGCGAGCAACGAGAAAGGATAAGACAGCGGGAGAAGCAATGCAGGATATCAAAATCGGCCACCGCCCCGCGAATGCCTCCGGCATGCCCCCGTACGAGGCGCATACAGCACTTAATGCCTGTCGCACCCCCCGTAGCTCCCGGTCTTCACCCACTTAGCGCGTGGACGCAACGTCCCAACACCAAGTACTAACTCCCAATCCCCCCCCCCCCCCCAATTTAGTCTCCCGGCATCGGACCAGGCCCCCGGTGTCCCCCACCTGCTTCTCCTGCTCCAGGTCCCCGAAGAATGACTGGAAGCGATCGGTGACGTGGTCCAGCCGCGCCGCAGGGCCTCCGGCGGGGCGCCCGCCTGTGACAGGCCGTGGTCGTCAGACCCGCGCCCAAAGACGTCAGCCCAATGGCTGCTCGGCAAGGGACGTCGCCCACCCCCCCGCATCCCACACCCACCCACCCTCATTGGTTTTCTAAGGGGACTTATGCCCTCCACGCTGCTGGCCCGCTGGGTTGCTGGACAAAAATTGTTTGAGCTATTTTGTTTGCCCACCATACGCCGATATCGGTATATCGATACAGGCTCGTTGCTCCAGGGCCTGAATGTACTTAGTGCCCGGCTGTAACATCTTGACACTCACTCACCCACCCTCACCCCACCCCACCCTCTCACACCCAATCGCCGTACATTTGCTTAGGAGGGGGTGCTGCAATGTCTGATCTATCTTTCAGGGCTTATAACATGCACCTTGGCGAACACACCCCCAATAGCGCTGCAAAGCGGAAAAGCACCCATCTTATTCTGCCGCGCCGGGGTGCTCCTTGGCGCGCTGTAGTTTCTCGGGGTTGCAACACAGCTTGGCGCTCTCGCGCGCACACGCACCTGAGCCCGGAGAGCTGGACCTCCTCATGTGGCCCGCGAGCGAAGGCGGCGGCGGGCGGGCCACTGCGAAGGCAGGAACGGAGCACAGCGGCCGTCAAACTGGGGCAGCGCCTGGCGCGGGAACAGCAAGGCTGATTAAGCCTTGCGGGCGAGGACAAGCGGGCAGGCACGCCTCGGGAACCGGCGGCCAACTTTGGGTTGCTGACCCGCGCGTCGGTCGCCTGGGGGCAGTCCCTCCCCTGGCGCTTTCGCTGCCGCCTTCGCCGCGCTCGGCCCCGCGAGTGCGCTGCATTCGCCGCGCGGACTCGACAGGTGGCCCGCGGGCACCCACCAGCACCCCTCGACCTGCCGCCCCTCCCGCAGAAGTCCAAGTCTGAGCCGCGCCTCCCCCGCCTCAGATGCGCCGACCAGTGCCGCCGCTCCTTCGCCAATTCGGCCGCCGCCTGCCCGCTTGGCGGTCCCGGCTCCCGGCGGTGAGGTGTGCACGGCGCGGTGACGGCGGGCCCCAAGGACCGCGTCGGGTTTCTGGCGAAATGACCATGTGAGGCGGGGGCCCTTGGCGTGGGGGAGGGCGCTTGCGTCCATGTAGACAAATGCTTCTCGGCAGTCGCAATTCCTGGATTTGTGCACTTTGTTTGTGTTGTGCTTTAAATTCCGATGAGCCCATCGTGGACACTGCTTCCTCGGGCAAAACGGGAAGCTGACAACCACCACCTTGTTTTGTTGTGTAAAAAGGAATGATGGTGATGATGGCGTGGAAATCCGTTGCAATTACGTGATGACGTGAGATGATGACGTGAGGGAGGGGACGAATCACTGGGATGGCATTCTCCAGGCGTCGCACTATGGCCCGGCGCCCACCTGGCCAACTGCCCAGGAGAGGGGTCCATAGGGAGGCGAGCTGCCGACCCCGTGGGGGACGCCGCGGTCGGCGGCTTGGGCGGAAATATCCACGAGATACCTGCATCATCAATTCCAACGATTGCAGTCCCCTCACAGCGCCTGCGGCCACAGACGCGACTGGGCTCGCTGAAGGTCCCAGCGGTTTTCGCCCACATCCATTTGACACCAAGCATCAAAGATCCAACACGATGTCGACCCTCGCCCAGCAGCTACAGCTTGAAATCGCCCACTTGCTTAAAGCCAGCGATTTCCGGCGCAGAGTTCCTGCTTGAAGCATCCACGTCGACTGCTCACATCTCCAACATATCAGCACGCCCAACCACCGGTCTCTATCTGTTCCTTCGCCCATGCCCAACAGCCGCCTCCAACCAGTCCCTGCTATGAGCCATAGGCTGAGTGCAGCAGCGCAATGGAGCGCATGAAGGCGATCAATTCTCTTCAGCCAAAACGGCAAACGTCAAGTCAACAATCCACGTCTTCTCGGACGACCATCACTATCTCCCGTCTCCATTGACCCGCGCCATGGCCAGCATGCTTCGAAAGGTCGACTGCAAAAGTATGGATTCCGTCATCCTCGACGACCGCTTTGACCCGCCGATACTGGGGCAAACACTGCTCCAAGGGCAACGCTGCGTGGTGCGCGTTTCACGGCACCACCGGTGCCACGCGGCTTCGGACGTCGAACGAATTCCACCATGGATAATGCTGTCCAAGTGTCATGAAACCGGAATCTTGAATGACGGTCGACTCTCGGCGACTGCCTCCACTCCAATCGCGACGGGCACGTCGAGTCAAGATCTGCGCCCATCGTCCCTCGACACCAACTTGCCCTCCGTCGCGCTGAAGCTGCAAAGGCAACGGCCGCGCTGCCGCCCTTCGAACAAATCAAATCAATCGCAGCGATGAGGTCGACCGCCTCCCTGGCAAACCGCGAGGCACATTCCACACAACCAGAACCGTCAGCCACAGCAAGCAACCCTTGTGGGACCCATCCACACACGCTTCAGTCAGCAGACGTCCGCCTGGACGACATTGCAGAGTGATCCCGCTTCCACACGATCACCGTCCCATCGCAGTCTCCAGACGCCAGGCAGCTCTCATCGTAGCTCCAAGACACGTCCACCACAGGAGCAGCGTGCGCCTGTAGTTGATTGACCACCACAGCGGTGCTCCGCACCCTGTGGATGTCGTACACGTGCACGTTTGTGTCCTCGCCCCCCGCCGCAATGCACTGGGGCTCGTGAATGGAGATGGAAGGGCACCACACGGCACAGATGCGCCGTGCTGCTGGGGGCAGTTCTGCTTTGGTGAAGAGCTCTAGCCTGCAGGAGACCTACATCCGCAAACACACTTTTCAGGCGATTTTCTGCCCTGATTCCAGGAGCATGGTAAACACAACCCTGGTCTTCATTGTGTTTCAGCATTTCAAGTTGTTTTCACTTGATGTCGATTGTGTATTGAAAGTTCTGCTCTACGAACATAAACGAATACTGAAACATCTGTAGTGAATAGCTTTCAATGCAAGACATTCAATGAAAACTATAAACAGCTGTAGACTGGAACCAATTTATCTGATCTTTGTTCAGCTTTTTGGGGCCATGCTTATCTCCTTCAGTTTGAATTTAGTCTTAGTGCACCCCAGTAAGGCAGCCACACTTTCACTTCTGGATCTATTCCCAGTCATACGATGTGGCGCAAACCTCTACCAAATGTGCAGTGGGAAGCATACACAGGTTACCTGAGCACTTGCACAATCAACCCTGCCAGGCTCAATACCACAACAGAGACTTGCACCATTTGTGATAGCTTTGATGCATTGATGTCCATGAATGCGAATGTGCACATAATAATCCTGTTCTTGCCTGGGGATGAGGAGGTGACGAATACAAAACCAGAGGCAAGGCCTATCACTGCACACTGCCATGCTTGGATATGTGCAACACGCAACACGGCTCGATCTCCTGTCATCCGCGATATGAAAATGGAACAAATGCATGTTTAAAGAGAGTCCTTGGTACATCCACCAGCCAGTCGAGCAGCCCAAAATGGGCAGATGCATAATGTGCTGCTATCTGGTGATCTGCCCAGAACTGCACCAACAAGGGAAGACAAGGCAAACGGAAGCGACGCACAAGGGTAGCAATACGACCCTGTGGCTCACCCCATCGTAGACTTTGTACACCGCAACTGTGCTGTCCAGATACATGACGAGCAGCGCTGGACCCTTCACCGCTGTGATGTAGCCCTGCCACTGGATGGACACAATGGCGCTGCCCTTTCCACCTGGGTGTGGCCATGCAAATATTGCAGGGAGGTGCTGAGACGACCCAGCAACATGCACCTCGCAGCGGAACACGTGAAGGTCTCCGTTCTCATCCCCAGCAAACATGCTCGTGTTGCTGCAGGCCAGGGCTGCGGGCATCAGCAAATCGAGCGGGGTTAGGCTGTGTGTGGCAATCCCTTCACTGGGGTTGCCATGCACACTGCCACACATGTGGCCTGTGGTTCAGGACACATTTCCTGGATCTAAGAATGCACCTCAACAGTAGGACGTCAGCATTCTCCTGGACGACATATGAAGTTTATTGCCCTTTGTTGATCAGTGGGTGCATTGATGTTGGGGAGAGCGGTGAAGTTCACACAGTGAACTACACCTCTGCTGACAACTGGTTTTTATGACTGGCGCCCAGGTTATGGATGGCAAAGTGCTAGAAGACTTTGTGCCAAGGCAGCAACAAAACGGCCACGATTGGAGTTGGAGCAACACAAACACCCCATGTATTGGATATGTCTCAAATATGGAAGCAACATTGGGAGCAAAGCGCAATCGTCACAATGGTTCTATAAGCACTGTGTGCAAGAGGCTCAGTTCCAGTCAAATCAGTCATGGTCAGCAAAGAAGGCCAACACAATGCCACAAAGTGCTTGACCATTTCATGGGGAATTCAATGCACAAACCGATACGAAACACAATCGTACTTCTCAAAGGCTTATTTCAGTAATAGATTGGCACTGACATGGTACCTGTGACCTCAGGATGACTGCCTCCATGTGCAATTGTATGGCTGAAAGCCTGTGATCCTGAGCATAGCAACACCATTTGACTTCAAAATCATTGCCTGAAAATGGCAGCAGACGACGTACTATCCTCTTTGACTTCCTGCTGTTTGTGCAGAAGTACAAAACAACACACACACACCACTGAACAACAGACAACACAGGCGTACTTCAACTTACTTCATGCACTATAGGCAGTGGCCAGTTGCCAGCACATTACATAAAATGGTAGTGCCTGCAGTGGTTTCATAGTTTCACGTGCATCAAGGGGCAATTTCCAGCGTCAGCATCTTCATTCATCACTGGGACTTGGAACCAGTGGTGGCAGTTTGAAGCACTAGTGAGTCTGCCTCTGCCTTGGTTTGCTTTGGTTTGGGCTTCTCACCTGTGCTCAGGTTCATTACACTGATCGCTCCACCATTGCCGACAAACAACAGATTTGGGTTCATTGGATGGAATCTGCAAGCAGACAGGCAGATAGGAGCACTTAGCAAGGTATCCCCACCATGTTGCATATGTTGCTGGCTCTTATCGTCCAGGAGGCCACTCTTCCCATCCCATGAACACAGCAAATATATGAAGACTTGCCACTTAAGTCCTGACGTGTCAATGGGCATAACCTGTCCACCACACTTGTTGCAAAACGTCTTGTTTATCTCTCCAAAATGAAATTGATGGACATACATAGAAGGATTGGCATATCATAGCGATGCCATGTTAGACATCAATTTACTGGATGGTGTTGGGCATCAACTGTGAAGGCCTGTGGTGGGACATCACAGCACAGCAGTGTCCGAAGCACCAGGAATGCAAACTTGCCCACATGGGCTCCACCGCAATCACTCTGCTGCGACAAAGGAAAGCCACAACTTTGGAACAATGGGCGACCCTGGTACCTACAGCAGGATGAAGCCTCAGGTGTCATCAAGCATCTGGAACAGATGCCACGGTCAACATCCCAAAGACACACAGAGCAGTCCGCGGCACACGTGACCAGCCAGCTGTTGTCTGCTGACCAATCCATGCCTCTGATTTCCTTGCCATGCCCACCTGACAACTGCACATACCAAGCTTTTACGGACTACTCTTCTTGGCATTTGGCAGCAGGTCGCCCAATCGCCTGCACAGCGACATGGAACATCTGGGGCCAAAGTATTGTGAACATTACATAATCCATCGTGGAGCAGTGTGCACTATGTTCGCCGCAGTGAGCAAAACAGTTGCTGAGAACTGGGCAGCCCATGACCACAAGAAGCAAGGCACTGGTGCATGAATTCCATCATAACAAAGGCATCGATGATTGCTGTGCATGGCTGTGCACAATAGTTTACAACAACAGTTAGTCTTGCTGCTGAAAATGTGAGCTCTGCAGCAATTTGGTCTTGGGGTTTACAGTACACTGCCTTCTAAAGAGCCCACAACACTCACAACCAAAAACGACTTAGACAAAACCAACTTCTGCACCAACTGGATGTCAACGCACAATTTACAAGCTGTTGCTTTGTATCATTGTATGTGTGCCTGTCATGTACAAGAACAGAGTTCAGTGAGCATGCTGTGGGCGATGAGCCAAGGAGGAAGCACCTTTTGAACAATTGGCACATGGCCAAGTCGGGCCACCCAAACATTGCCATCAATGCTGGCATATGCAAGAAGGTTGGACGTCAGCTTGCCAAAGCTCAGGACAGTGACTGGAGACTTGCAATCATCCAGAATATGCTTCACACCTGTAGCCACACACAGGCATGCATTGCATCATCACACGTTTCACAAGTAGCAAATTAGCCCACGTGTTGGATATGCACAAATTGTTTATTTCAGTATTTACAGAATACAGAATATTCCGACGGTGCATTTCTTATCCTCACTTCAGTGCTGACCATATCATGCCCACGTCCAGTTGGTTGATTCAGGAGTCACAACAATGGCACTTACACCTTCAAAACGATGATGGCCATAAATACCAAGCATGATGTTCATGCACTCAGCCTGGGCACTAGCACTTCGGCAAACAGGTTGTGTTGAGCATCCCTTCAACACATTGTGCTCTTTCTTCTATGTTCCCTTCCAACCCATTGGAAATGACATTTGGACAAAAGGATGGGCACAAACACTGACGTGACAGAGATTGGCCCACACTGCCCTGCAGGAGCAGGGGGAATAAGCTGTATACTTTGCAAGAAAGTATTGAGAAATGGGTCACTGGCTAACTGCTGAAGAGGGGCCAATTACCACCACCTTTTCATTTGCAAAAGTATGCACCATTGGTGCGTCGTGCATGGCTGAGACTGGGCACATCATCTCACAATTCGTGATCACGAGATCTGACAACAGATACACAGCCAAAACACCTCTCTCCCTGACAACCATCAGCATTCCAACAACCATTTCATTGGACTCTTAGACCACTCTGTGCAATGTCCACCTGAGACTGGCTGGCTTGCCACGCAGATCGTGATTTGCGCAGCCTTTGATAGGCAGAAACCAGTCTTGAAAGATAGGCTTAGGGGTCAAGTTGGTCGCCAGGCACGGCTGCATAACCTACTCACTTCTCTCCACTGCAGGCCACCAGCACTTCCCAACGTCGGCTGCAACTATAAGCAAAGCGCGTTGGACTAACGCTCGCCCACATCTGGACTACAGCACAACAAAGGGAGCGGCAACAACGTCGCAAACGAACAGCGGCCCCGCAAACAACGAGATGGGCCCACGGGGAGCGCACCCGAGAATGAGAATGCTGCAGGCAGTTTTCGGCCCTGGGGCCCTGGCTCGGGAGACAGCGGGTCTGCAGGCGCCACTGATCCCTTCCTCAGCGCCACCGCCAGGGGGAGGCTGCCCAATTCCTGCTCATCTGGAAACCCGAACTCCCGCACGTGGCTGCCATGGTGTTGCGGAATCCGCGTCAGCGCGCAGATCGACGCCCAGAGGCGCAGCGAGGCCGCCGCAGGGGACGCTGTTGGACGGGGCGCATCAGCAGGAGAACATTTGGGCGAGGGCACTCACTGGAGGTACTTGCGGTATGTAGTGTACGTCGCGCCGTTGCACTCCCAGAGCTGTCCAACGGCACAGAAGCGTAATCACTCCAACCTGCCCGCGGCTCGGGGCCCGCGACCCCACGGCCATGGGTGAACGTGCCCTAAGCCCTCTGCGTAGGATCCATGCGCCACGCCCAGGCAACCACAAGCCGTCGAAAACTCACATCCGCGCGCCGGTTCTCCCAAAAGGGGTCGCAAGGGACCACGGCAAATCGCGGGGGTCCAAATCCGACTGCGACATCCGCCAGTCCGCTCGCTCGCCGTCGCCTCGGACACCTGCTCTCGCTCGCGGCGACGAGCAGATCAATCGAAATCGAAAAACGCGACGCAGGGGGAACGCCCTGGCAGCGAGCGCACCCTGCCTCGAGTCGCCCCGTCCGCCGCTTTCGTACCCACCTCTCTGTGCACACGACTCTCTCTAGAAAGGGATCCCAGCAGGAACTGCCGGAGGCCCGAGTACTCCACGCTGTCCATGGCCCGCGCCGCCCAAACCGTCGGCCGGGAGCAAACGGGCGCAGCACTGGGCGGCCCCGTGCGCATCCGCTCCGCGCATCCCCGCCAGCCCAATTGGGACAAAGTACTGGGCCGCGACAATGAAGGAGTTGGATTTGCCGTACCCTTTTGCCGTGAGTGGCGTGGTAGTTCTGCCCTCGCGGCCGACCCACACCGGCCAGTGCTTCGAACACTGCGGCGCGACTGCATGAGCTTGCCCCTGGTTGGGAACGGGCGCCGAACCGGTCGCCGCTCCACCGCGAGTCGAGGGGGAAAGATCATTCTAAAGCAGGGCGCAGGGCGGTGTGACGCAGGGCCCCGGGCGCCCGCCACTACGGGGTTCTGAACGATGAAAGTGAAAAAGCCGAAGTTGCTGAAGAAATTGACGTCCAAGCTCACGGGGAAGAAGGGGAAGGGCGAGGGCGGCAAGGTGCGGCGCGCGGCCCCTGCGGGCGGCGGATGGTCGGGGCTGGCGGGCGGGCCCCCGGTGCCGCGCAGGCGTGCCGGGGATTATTCGCCCGGGGGAGAGGCCGCGCCGGCGGGGGCGAGGAGGACCATGCTGGGCTCCCCGACGGCGGGTGATCAATAGCCAGGGACTGCCCGGGGGATATTTAACCTATTTGCTGTGAAGGGCTTGATCTGGGGGGAGTCTCGGCGCCCGGAGCGCGGGTACAGCCCCCGCACCCGCCCGTGCGTCGCCCGTGGCCGCGGTTCGCGGCCAATGTCGGTGACGGGCTGGCTGCGAGGGGCGGCATGGCGGCGGCGGGCTGATTGGTCGCACCCGGCCGCCTGGGGGCGCGCCTTCTGGCCGGAGCCCTTGAGGCAACCCCCCATGGCTGTGGTCCACGCTTGGCGGCACTGCCTGTCCAGGCACTTCAACCACAAATCGTCCCCAAAAGGGGCAGCAAATGCCGCCTCTTGACCCTAGTCGTCCTTTCCTCACGCGCCGCACCGCAGGTGTCGGCGAGAAAGGGGGTCCCTTGCAAGGCATGCTGCCTCAATTTCGGCATTTTAGCGACATCGTCGCAACGATATGTATCCCCCGGCCCCCTCACCACTTGCAGGCCGCAAGGGGTCCTCGGGAGCCATCTGGTCCCGGAGGCCTTGCGTCAGCACGTTCCGCCCTTTGCCGACCGCTGCGTTCGTCGAGCCCTCTGGGTCTGGCAGTGAACCGCCCCCCCTGCTGTGCAGGATGGAGAGGGGGGCTCACCCACAGGGCGGCCCAACCTGGGGACCATCTCCGAGGCGGGATCCTCCCGGTTCGGCGGACTGTCCTTCAACAGCCGGAGGGGGACAACTGGCGACGATGGCAGGCCCAAGACGGCCCGATTGCCTTCCCATGAGGTGAGGGATCGCCAGCTGCTAGTGTCCCTCAGCCATGCTTATGCTCCTGGCCGCCCTGGCTCAATAGCAGACATGGCATGCGTGCCATTTTTGAGGATTCTTCATTCCATGGTGCATCAGCACAGCTGGGTGTTGAACGGGCTGGCACATGGCTCTCATGTCCAACTGTGTTCACCATTTGAGGACCAGCTACAAACTCTACAGGGTATGCCCAAAGATGGGAAAAGAGAGTGAAGCATTGGAAGAAAGGGAGGAAATCAGCAGGCAACAGCCTTCCCATGATGTGATCATGCGGGTGCTTTCCGCAGCACAGCCCTGATGTACCACTGGAGATTCAATTGGCTGGCTGGTGGTGCAGGGGCACTGGGGATCTCAGCAACCCCGCAGAGCCCAGACTTCGGATGGGGATAGCGGGAAGGGTTCCCATTCGCGCATGTCTACCTACGATGAAGTCATGTTGCAGGCCGAAAGCAGTGACAGCGATGGCGAAAACAGCAGCAGTCAAGGGTGGGCATGTTTTCTGCACCAATGCTGTACTTGTGGAGGTCCTTTTCAAGTGGGATATGTGGATCGCAAAAATTGAACGAGCGAAGTTCGTAAGGACCCCTGCACAAGAGGAAGAATCTGAACTTCTGGGCCTTGACAATTTGGGGTCCCCCATTTGTTTGGTGCTTAGTGCATCTTCTCCACAACAGGGACACACTCGGGGCCCTGCTTTTGTGCCCTTCCTTCTATCTATATATATCCTGTCAGATAAGCAGTATGGAAAATGCTCATATGGGGAATGCAAGTTCTTTTGCATTTTACAATAGCTTGACAGAAACAAGCCTTATCACCAAGCTGCCAATGTTGGGTAGTGTGCTGGGAAGCAAGGGTGGAATCCAACAGAGTTGCTTTTGCTGCTCTGGAAGTCCTTTTTCCGTCAGCAGTAGTAGCAGTGGCCCCATTCTTGGGCTGTGAGCCACAAAACTAACCAGTTAATGTTCAAGCACTGAGAATAATTGCTCTACTGGGAAACAGCCTGTAGTCATCAAACACTGAAGTTGTGGTCAGGACCCGATGCACAGTGGCTCAACTTGAATCAAGCCGGAGCCCTGTCCCTTCAATGTGTTCAGGGACCAACGACTTGGCCTGGTTAGAACTAGCCGGTTGAAAGGATGGCACCTGCAGGATCGAATCGACAAGCAGTCGATCTTGCCTGTCTGGTCAGGGTGGAGAGAACTGTAGAATCGCACCTGCAAGAGTATTCAGGTACACAGACTGTAAGCTGCCACTACTGGCATGCGCTACAACAGGCGGCTGGAGCTTTTCTTGTGAGAGGTAGTGCTAGAGATGTTTTGGAATATAGCACTGGGAACATTGATAGGAAACATGGGTAGTGGACGAGACGCATGCATTTTGAGGTACCCTTACTCTGGGTGGACACAAATGCCTGGGCAAGATTGGACTTGTCTGACATGTCTGCTTCTGAGCAATACGTTCCAGTATAATTTAGGTACAAGGACTCAGTTATCCTGCTATGGATATTGTTATAGAGTGGGAAAATTCCTAAATTTTCCTCTGGTTGACAGGACCTCACAAACCCATGATCTGCTGAGCCAAATGCGCATAAAGTCGTTGCGCCATGTACAAAAGACTGCAGCGGATGTGCCCAAGCTCACCCCACCTCCCCTGGCCCCACCGGGTACACCTATACTGCAAACGAGGAGCTCAATTGGGGGAGCCTCCTCAGCATCGTGGCGCCAAGGCTCTCCAGATATAGATGAGGTGAGCAGCAATAATTGATGAGGGATGCTGTTGCCTGTGGTTCCCTGAGGGGAGATTGTTCATCAATGGCAGCAGCTTGGATTTGGTGCTTTCTTAGATATCTTGCACTCCATATAGTACCACATGACATAACATTGTATTTTGCTCAGCACCAGACCAGGCAGAATAGTGTAGTGTGCAGACAAGTCGGTCCACTCAGTGTCTGAACGTGGGATGTAAGACCACATACTTGCACTGGCAGTATGAGAGCATGGATGCCGATCAGTTCATACTCCTGCTCGCTATGACCCTATGACCCTTTTGTTGAGTTGATTTTGTTGACGACAGTCCTTTTTCTCATTGTGGGATCTGCCCCTCTTGCTTGCTTTTATGCTGTCTGTATCACCATAATTGATGGCATGCAAGTGCAATACCATTTGATACTGGCAAAAGCAAAGTCGTCCAGTGCAATGATGCCTGATGTGTGGTTGTTTTCTCTGGCTTGTACCTGGGAATGTGCCTCTAGAGTGCATGTTGACAGTCTGTTGCCATTCGCCATGGGCATGCCTCAGCACAAGGTATGTAGTAGCATTTAGGGCAAACAAGCTTAAACAACGTCTGCTGTTGCTGAAGTGCCACTGAGATAGGGATTGCAATTCAAGCCATCTCCCAAGATGTCGAATTGTAAGCTCAAACTCCCACTGTTGCAGCTATGGTTGTCTATAGCTCTTCACGTTTTACAGCGATGCTTGCAGGCAGCACAGGATATGTACTGATGCTTCCTTGGAAGCCACGATGCTCAATTTGCCATCACCCTTCCCCCTTTCAAATGCTCGTCTTCTGCTGATCACATCTTATTCCCCATCCTTCCTGGCACTTACGTTTGCAGTTGATGGCTTTGGACTTGTGCATTCTGATGCTGCTGCATTGTGCAGGGAGCCTTTCCTCTGAAATCGGCCCACAGTGGCTCATCTGGTCCCTCACCATACAGAGCCCCAAGCCCCAGCTTCTCGCAGTCCTCTGGGCTGCACGAGAGGGGCGCTACCATCGCGTATGGAGACAGCAGTGGCTCAATGGGGTGGCCCGGTTCACTGGCACGACGGTCCACATCTCAGGGCATGGATCTGATTCCACCACCCTTTCCCACCAAGCCTGCCGGCCACTTGCGAGGAGAAGTGAACGTCGATTCTGGACCGTGGGGGCCATTTGTGGGAAGCGCCACAGCCAACTTGGCAGCCCAGTTTCTGACATCGCAAGAGTTGGAGGAACAGGGTTGGGGTGCACGAGGTGGGCAGGGAGTGTTCGCATCAGAGTTGGTTGGCAGCCAACGCGTGGGAAGTCGGGCTCCAGCGGGCTTCCTTCAGGCTGCGCCCCATGCAGCAGCAAGCAGCAAAGGATTCGCTGTGGCATGGCCTGAGAACGGTACAGGAGAGTGGAAAGGGCACGAGGCTGGCTCCACCACGCTGTCGATTGGGACGCAAGAGGTTGAGACACCTGTAAGCCAGGTGGCGCCCCTGCAGGAGGATTGGTTCCAAGTCAAGGAGTTCCGCAAGATGAGCGATGGGTTTGAAGACGATGCGCCGCCATGGGAGACAGGAGATTCAGCAGAGTACCAAAGGGGCATTACAGCACCACCTGTGTCCTTTCAACCGTATGTTGATGCTGTTGACGATGGATTTGGTGATGATGCTCCCCCGTGGGCAACCGACCGAGCCAAGTCGTTGGGTGCGGATATGGCAGTAAGGGCAGAATTTGAAGCCGCAAGCACAGCTGCAGCTGCTGCAGCCCCTTCCGGGGATGTGCAAAGGCATGACTGGTTTGAGGCTGGGAAGGATGGACAAGGCAGGGTTGACAAATTCGCGGACGATGCCAAGTCCTGGAATGGCTCAGAAACAACCAGGGATCCGAATCAGAATCTGTCCAGCGATGGAGCAGGTGCGGTGCTTGGGGCCAGTGGGCTGATGGCAAATGATGCAACACCCTCCAGGCAGCAGGCTGGGGCTGGCACGAACACACTGGAGTGGAATGGTGAAGCCTCTGAGGTGCCTGACAGTGGGCTCAGATTTGAGGACGATGCCCCACCGTGGGGAAATGTCGGACTGCCTACAGCGTCACCTGCAAATGTGGAAATGATCACGTCAGAACAGTTGAATCCACAGTCTGAAAGCTCCAATGTTGGGAGCATGCTTGCAGATGCTCCACCACAGTGGGCAAGTGATGGCCTGCCATCACTCAATCCAGTATCTGTGGAATCGCCATCTGAGGTAGCATCAGCTGTGCAGCCAGTACGAGAACCCCTGTCACCAACTGGCTGGCAGTCATTTGATCACAATTTCTCCAACGAAGCACCAGCAGCGGGTGCCAGAGAACTTGGCGGGGAAGTGCCTTGGGGCCTGGGCGCTACAGATAATGTGCTCGCCACAGAGTCATCGATCAGTCAGCAAGGCACGGGGCGCGATGGTAACTGTGCGGAGAGCAGTCAGCGATTGGCACCCTCTTCATCCGACGATCAATTTTTTGAAGCTGAAGGGATCGTTGTGGAAGGCGGCGATGCAGTTCCTTACAGCCCAGAGGGCCCAGGGGCACCAAGCCTGTCACAGTCGAAACAAACCTCGAAGTTGGAAAAGGATGGAGATCAGGATGCTCAACAAGGGAAGAGTTCCATGGGCATCTGTGCTTCTCCCATTGCGCTTGATGTTGGCAGTGCTGTATCCGTTGGCGATCAGGCCGGTACCAGTCCACCCGATGCGGAGGTCGTTGCAGAGATTCCAGACCCGGCTGGAAGTGTGAGCAGCAGCGCACCAACGGGCCCGTTGGACCAGAGACATAGCAATGCCCTCGATGGGAAAATAAGCTTGGATAGTGCCAGCTTCCTGGCGAAATTGCAACCTGACGGTCCAAGCCTGAATTCGAACTTGACAAAGACTGGGTCGCTAGACAGTGAGCCCAGTGCCGAAATATGGAGGTCGTGTTCAGCAACGGATATGGAAGGGGTGGGGCTGGGTGAGAAGGAACCCACCAAGGGCAGCTCAGAGACCATGGTGCCTCTGCCTGAGAGCAGCTCTTTGAACAGGGGTACGGCTGTGAACCAAGCACCAAAGGGTCCTGGGGTGGACGCCTTGCAGAAGGAAGCCATGGATGATCTTGCGTTGCATGGACCAAACTGGGAGGGAGAAAAGGTGGAAGCTGTGCCCTCTGATCACAAAGCTTTTCCTGACACCTCTGCAGTGCAGCCGACCATGGCTGTGCCAAACAGGGACTCCAGCGACGTGTCGTCATTGCTGACAGCAGACCGGTGGTCGAGTGGCCAAGAGGGGTTCGTCGATTCACACCAGTTCTTGCCTCCGTCCGAGCTGGTGAACAGGGATGCCTTTGCAACTCCTCCTACTCCCGCTGGGACGACGGCAGTCCGTCCAGAGGCCACAGATCCCAATGCAGACCACCGGGGCAGCAGCCGGGAAGACGACGCAGAAGGAGGCGGCGCTGATGCAGGAGAATGGCCACTCCCACTCGCGCCGGCTGCTGCTGGTCCAGACGACCCAGCACCCGGATCCCAACAAGGGCTGCTGGATGTGGCGGGCGCTGTAGAAGCTGCATCTCCCGATTTGCAGCCGTCTGCATCGACCACTGCCGCGACTACAGGGGAACCTGCCGCCGCCGCAGTGCCCATGGCCGCGGGCGCGGAGGCCAGTTCCGAAGAGCCTGCGCCGCAAGGGGAGGCCCGGTGTGCAGCAGTTTCTGCAGATGGCGGCGTCGCCAACCCAAGCCAGGTTGCGCCAGCCAGCGCCACGGGCGCTCCTCATCAGGCCACAGACATCGCCCCGAGCAGTCTGCCTCGGCCCGATGACGCGCAAGCCCTCCTCCAGTCCGGGGATCAGCAACTTCCCCGCACAGGATCGGCGCCAGACGTCGCTGCATCGCCCAAATCCCCCCGGGAGGGCCCCGCCGGCGCCAGCTTCGCGGAAACGTGGTTCGGCCAGCAGCCGTCAAGCGACGACCCCTTGTCGCCGACGTCGGCGGCGACGGACCGCAGCGCCGACGCCGACAACCGATCGGCGATGGCCGACGACTCCTATCCCGTGGATGGCTCCCTCGACGCCGGCCCGCCCAGCTTCAGCGCCGCGCAGCTGCGCGTCCTGATCCCCGAGCTGGACGAGCGGATGCGCCAGGGCGCGGTCTTCCAGCCCGTTCCGGAGGACCGGCCGCTGGAGGACGCGTCCGGGCCGGCCACCTGGGAGGCCTTCGGCCAACAGCCAGCAGCCAACCTGGTGTCCCCCACCAACCCATGGGGGGCTCCCCCCATGGTCTCGCCCACCAACCCCTGGGTGGAGGACGACGCGCTGATGCGGTTCGATGCCCCGCCCCCTACCCCCCAGGCCAGCGGCGTGGAGGCCGCGCTCGTCGATGCCGGCATGCCGCTGCTGACGGTCGTGGAGACCGTCAGCGCGAGGTTCGCCGGCGAGTGCCTCACGCGCTACGGGATCCACGGCCGGGTGGCGCTCAAGCTTGCCCAGCCGCCCAAGGTGGCGGAGAACGGCGGGAGAGGGTCGGAGAAGGGGGGGCTGGACGAGTTCAGGCTGGTGCTGCGGATGAAGTGCGTGCAGAGGAACGTGGACACGGGCAGCTTGAGGGCCAACGGCGCGCTGCTGGAGGAGCCAGGGCGCGAGCGGGCCAAGGCCGGCGACGTCCGGTGCAGCCTGTCGATGAACGAGGCAAGGGTGGGGATCGTGGAGTCCAGGCAGCTGGCGTGGGGGCTGGGGAAGTGCGTGCGGGGGGCCGCGGCGGCGGGGGAGGGCGGCAGGGCGAGGGAGGTGGAGCTGCTGAGGTGCGAGGGGCTGGGGGCCGGGCCCCGGGGACCGCCGCCTGTGGGTGCCAGAATCTGCCCATTTCTTTTTCTTGCTTACCTTCAGCTAGTTCAAAAGAATACATCTGGTGGCGATTGGCGTCGTTTTCAGTGTCCAAAACTATCACATCACGCATTTTAGGAAAGAAACACAGCAACAATTGGCATTGCGATCTCTGTTGGGGTTTGCCTGGGCTGTACTTTATGATGTTCCGCTACACTGGCGACTGAATGCACGAATGCTGGGCAATTTTTGCTGCCAGCAGTGTCAGGCTGCCAAGTCGGGATTTTCGTTCCGCAGTTTGACACAGCCCTCTCCCCAATGCTTGTTTCAGGTACACCATCCGGCCCCAGGCACTGGCGGGCGCCCCACTCCACATCCACGTCCAGTGGCGACGCCCTCGCAGGGCTGGCCAGCGGCTACTGGTCGACATCGCGCTGTCAGCCAATCCCAAATTGACCATCTGCCTGTGGGGCGTCATCGTGACGCTTCGGGGCATGCCGCAGCTCGTGCTGAGGCCAAATGGCCAGCCAGAGGGGGAGTCGCAGCCCAGGGCGGACTGGAACAGAGAGGTTGGAAAAAACACACCTTGCAACTGCCCACAAAATGCTCTCTTCTTGCAGTTTCTGTCCATTTGTTTGGTTGCAGTATTGTTATTGCTGTCGAGTTAGTTTGTATACTGGTTTTCATATTATATTGGTGACAATGCTATTATCAGGGACTGCCCATACCGGTAGTGTGCGCCCATTTTCAAGTGAAACAAACTGTGCATTGCAAAGTGGAGTTCTGGCACCAGTGTGCTCCTCGTGTGTTGGACACATCTGCTGCCGCTGCAGCAGCAATCGGTGTCCGTTTGTACATGCATATGTCCACGTGTGGGCACATTTCTGGCAGGCAGCAAAAAACATTTGTTCACCTGGGTTTCTCGGTCTGAAGGATGGAACTGAGTTTGTTAATTTGTGTGCGCTTGCAACTGAGGAACAGGCTGTTCTCATCAAGTTTGGAACAGAGGCTGTGTTCTGTCAGGTGCAGCGAATGGCATCGCAAGAGTGCCAGTGAATGCTGCAGACTGACTGTTCTGTGAACCGTGCTCTCCCTGCAGGAAAACGCTTTCCAGTGGCGGCTGGCGGGCATAGACCCGGAGGAGCCCCCCCGGCACCTCCGACTGGCGGTGGCAGAGTCATGGGACAGGCCCGGGCCGAACAGCTCTCAAAGTCTGTCACGAGACGACAGCCCGCCCACCCTGTGCGCTGAGGTTCGATTCGTGATGCCCCACACAACGCTGTCCCGCACCATCGTGGAGGCGGCTGTCGAGCCCAAGTACAGCGACGGGTCCGCAGCCAAGAATTTGCTTTGGGAGAAGATGTCCCTCAGCGGTGATTACGCGGCAGACACGCGCTACGACTGACGCCGGGGGCAGTTGGATGGCGTGGCGGCGTTGTACAGTAATACAGGGGCGCGGGTGTTCTCTCACACTGACACCAGGCTTGGGGAGCTCTCGGGGCAGAGATGCTTGACGCACTTTAAGATCTCATGTTGATGGGAGTGGCTTGTGGAATCGTGTGTCTGAATGCTGGGGCAGTTGCTCACTGCAGCTTTGGCGCTGGGTAGACAGGCGCCCTGCCCGTCGTCATCTTCTCTTCATGCAATTCATTGGGCTCTAATATTTCTCTCTTCTGTTGGGATTGCAGTGATGCTGATTTGCATCAACTGCATTGACGGCCCGCCATGGCGACTTGTGGATATGGCACTGTGGATGCATCGCAAGTGGCGATACGTTGGGGATATATTCACATAGCGTTTCAGCCGATCCCTCGTGGTGGAGGTGCGACACGAAACACCTTCACGTCACATGTATCTAAATGCCATAATGACAGATTACGAGCCTTGCAGCAACCCCACCTCTGAGCAGCTTCCTGAAACAGCCTCTGCATAACCAGTCCCTCAGAATCGCTTGATCTCATGAGCGCTTGCAGGAGTAACAATCATCGACTACAAACACATCCAGTGCACCCAGGTGCTTGTCATTGCCTACGGGCTCACCTACCAAGTGCGGCATCCCTCTACCATCTTCGCTGAAGCCACCGCAGCCGCCGCAACACCCCCCCAACCGGCCGCCCCACTCACTGCCAACACCCCTGAAGAAAAAATGACCAGCCGGCCATACCCATCACTCCGACCACCCCAACCGACGCTTGATCGCACGATGTTGTGGCCAGAACTGATCGAGTATTACCAACAAAAGGAGCAATGAGAAACCAGGAATTGAACTAACGACACTGACACAACGGACCGGATACAATGGACAGAATTCCTGCTGTCCCTTTGCTCAGGTGCGAACCGCTGCCGTACACTCCGGCCTACGATCCCCAGTCAGGTGCTGCCACCTCTCGGTCCTGCACGCCTCCGTCAACAACACTCCAGAACGTGCCCACATCCCTTCGCGGACACTTGCGCGAAACGCGCTACCTCCACCGCTTCATGTCCGCCGGCCGCACGCTGGGCTCGCGCCTCCCCTTGAGCGCGAACTGGACCCCTATCGGGTTGCCGCCCACCAGGAAGCCGTCCCTGGCCGCGACCGCCGCGTTGGCCTGCTCCACGCTCTCGAATTCCACGAACCCGTAGTTGTGCTCCCACTGCGGCTCCGGCGCCATCACGCAGGCCGCCGTGATCTGCCCGTACGGCTCGAACAGCTTCCTCAGCTCGCCCTCGGAAAACCCGCGCGGCAGGCGGTTGACGTACAGGTTGCTGTGCAGCGCCGGGCTGGCCATGGTGTACGGCACTGTGGACGGGAGCGATGGCGACGTCTTGGGCGGCTTGTACTTGTCGTCGGACAGCCTCGTCTGCCCGAACTGCTTCCTCAGCCGCTCGTTCTCCACCCTGAGCAGCTCCATCCTCAGGCTCTCCGCCTCCTCCCCCCACTCGGGCTTGATCGCCGGCTCGCGCCCGCCGCGCTTGGCCGCGGTGACCTCGATCTTCGTGCTGCCCAGGTTGAAGCCGTTCATGGCCTCCATGGCGGCCTGGGCCTCGCGCAGGGTGGCGAACTCCACGGTGCCGGACTTGAGGCCGGTGACGCCGTCCGCGGGGTGGAGGCAGCAGGAGGTGATGGTGCCGTGGGGCTGGAAGAGGTCCCTCAGGGCCGCCTCGGAGAACCAGGAAGGCAGGTTGTCCAGCTTCAGGTTGCTGTGGGCCCTCGGGGTCATCGGCTGGACGCGGCGAGGAGCAACCGGGCGGGTTCCACGAGTGAGATTGCCACCAACTGCACTTGTTCGAAATCACAGTTCTCACAAAGGCCTCACGCCTGGCAAGGGTTGGACGACGCAGAAGCGTCCAGTAGATTTTCTTGCTAATCCTGCACGTTTCGACGTTCCGACGACGGTGCATTCATATTCCCACTTCTGCATACAGCCAGCGCACTGGCCGTTCGCAAGTGCAACTCCCTTTGTTCTCGGTAGATTGCTGAGGCATCAATGCAGTGGTGGTCGCGTCTGGCGCCTCGGCATGCGCGCCGAGCACCATGGATTGCAGATCCATTGATATACATTCACCCCAAGCCACTTGATCATAGGAGAAACATGTGAACAGCATCACGGGGACGGGGGACGGCACTCAATCACCAGACGTCGCACTTCTACCGGGAGTTGTTTAGTGTGAGAATGGAGCATCTTTCTGAGGCGATGCCATATTCAGCACCTCGGCTTTGGGAGGAGCTGTTAGTGAACATCGACTGGCCTGTGCAGAACGAACCCTCCAGTACACATTTGTACAAACTGACACATCTAGGGCTCGTGCTTGCAAAGGGAATCCCCATGCGCACTCCGCAACTAGGTCACAGCAAGCCCCTGTCTCACAAGCTGGCCTGAAATGCCAGCCTGAATTGACATGCATGTGATGAAATGACTTGTACAGCAGTCATTGGCATCTCTGGTTGTTCCTGGCCAAGAAGGCAGTGGATCACCTACCTCTTCTTGTCCGTCGCCATTCTTTTCCACCCAGTCGTCGATGAGCCGCTGAAGGGTGATGTTGTGGACCAGCTGCGTGGATTCCAAGGCCAACCCCGTCTCTGGGCAGGTCTTCTTCCCCGTCGCAAACCACTCTTCAATGGACGTGGCGTCGTATGTGTGGCCGGTCTCCACCACTATCATGGGCTTCCTCATCAGCTGCAGGCTGATGGGGCACATGAAGTCATCGGGTGCAGTGCATGTCTTGTTTTGATCGCAAACAGCCGCCTCAATCCTCTCCAGGAATTGCTCTTCTTGGCGATTGCACCGTTGCCTTGAATGGTAAATGCCAGTTGCTATCTCATCAAGGAACACCTGTAAGTCTACCTGAGCCGAAGCGAAGGGAGTACTAGGTTCAATGAACACTGCAAGTGTGGATGGAGACAGAGCTGTGGCTGTACATCTTGTACATTGTGCCACAGATTCACACTTTCGCATGGCAGGCATTCCCTTGCTGAGCATTTCCTTTGAACCCTTGCCAGGCCGTAAGTTGGCATGGGAACTTTTGATAGTGCAGGAAATATGCAATGATGGCCAACCACGATCACAGTTGCAAGTGAATTGCAGAGGGGTTCCAGATGTATGGGGTGCTGGCTGTCGATTGCCATCAGTTTCAGCTGGCCCCTTCTGAAGCGGGAATGCTGCTACACCAAAAAGAAATCCCCCGCCAGGCATGCTCTTGAGATGTTTGGGCAAAATTTTGTAGAGCATCGACGAAAAACGATAAAAGCCAGTGTCCCCAATGTGCAGAGGGCAGCACTTGCCTTGCTCTGGAGGGCTTGAATGTGTTCTGTCAGTATGCTTGCAAGCACTGCTGTCCCTCTCTCCAGGCTGACAGCTCCAGTGCTCATCTTGTGCAGCATGTGCCGCATGTCGTCGTACTGCCTCTTCTGCAGCTCATCCATGTCAATTTCATACTTCGTTGTCTTCAGTTGTTGTGCAAGGTCTTGAATAGCCTGTGCCTGCTCTGAGAGCCCTTGCGCTACATTGTCACTGGGGCTGAGCCCTGAAGCAAAAACGCTGTGAGCACATTCGATGGCAATACCAACATTTGCATGTTCACTGCACAGTCAACTCTTGCACACTTGCACTTGCACTTGCAATATAGCAAAAACATGTAAGCAATCTCATGGACACATACATTCTCTGACAGACCGTGCACTTCAGAAGGTACTTTTCTCTTGTGCTTCCAGTGGTAGAGGACTGAAGGCTGGTTGTGAGGGTCAATTGGGAATGTACCGTGGTGTCTTGTGAGGCCGCTGGCCAGTCCAAAAAGCACGCGTCCTAAAGAACTTTGCACAGAACTATCTCAAAGGGACAGAATCAGCACAATGATTGTCAGGCCACAGGGACTTCGTGTGCCACAGCAACCCTCTTGTCTCGACACCTTGCATTGGCACTTGCTGCGCGGCTAACACTGTTTGATCTGTGTAGATCGGAGTTCACAACAGTCAAAAGTGACACAGCCTGACACATGAACCAATACCGCACAGCTAAGCACGCTCTGGGGAACGTGCCATCGAAAAGCCCGCTGCTGGGCCTGCTGTGCACCCCTTGACGTGTCCTTTGAACTCCCAAGATTTCCACACTCGGCATCTTCGAAAGAGTTTCAAACAGCAAACACAAGGTACAGGGCTGCCCACCGCAAGAATTGCTTTCCTTCCTGCCGCTAGAATCTCCAAAGAAACTCCATCAAATGGCACTGTGCACTGTGCTGTGGAGTGCGGAGCTTGCTGCTGCCCCTTGAATGGCAAGATACCACTCATCCGGCGTTTGCATTCGTCTCCACAGAGGGGCGGGGCGGACACGTTGCTGCGCTGACTTGCTGCAACAACGGACAAGGAAACAAGGGTACCAGCCAAGTGAGCGCATACTTCACCTGCGACGGCCTCGCCCAGCCACCTGGACACCAAAACGAAGTCCTCCTGTGTGGATTGCGCCTTGACGAACGCAGCCAGGGCACCCATGCTGCCCGCACTGTCAATCAAGGCGGCCGCCTCCTTGACGACACATCTCACCCTGTTGCACCTCGCGATAAACGCTGGGGTGCGCCGTGCTCCGTCCATCGCGTCTTTAATGACGGGCGCCAGACGCTGGACGTTCTCCGTCAGCAGCCGGCACATGCTCGCATTCTGCTGTGGTAAGTATGCCTGAACCCTGTCTATGTCGTCGAGAGTGTCCTTCTTAATTGCAGTGATATCGAGCAATGCCTCTGCATCAACACAAGAAAAACACTCGGAACGCAAGCAACAGCATCAGGAGCTCCTGGAGGACGCAAACACGCAGTCAAGCCCTTCAACGCCCGAGGTCAACACAGGTTCCGCTCAGATGCCAAGTACAACGAACATGTTCCGCACGGCTCACCGGTCGGTAAACCCATTGTTCAAACCTCCAGCCGCGTTCCGTGGTACGATCTTCGTTGCGTCGCCAGGGGCAAATAGCGAAGAGCGCAAGCGTGCTGTGGGAAGCAACCCGTTGCCGATTCGCTTACAAGCTCCTGCGAGCGACACGGCGCCAATCAGCTGCCAACATCCCGGGATGCGCCCGCAGAAAACGCACTTCCATCCTTTCGAGTGGAGGAAAACTGCCTGGCCCAGGTCCAGCGACAGCTGCTGCGACACCTGCAGCCGCGCCAGCCACGCCCACAGTCCAACCGCAGCAAGGCAGCTTCTGGACATGAAGGATGCGACAAAACTAGACCAACTGCGCCCCGGCGCGGGGACGCAAGGGTGCAAGCTTTCCGCGCCGCAGTACCTGGGCAGGCCTGGAGATAGCGCGGTGTGCGTGCGGGCGTCCCCGCTAAGAGCCTGCCGGCGGGGATAAGGACGCACGCTGAGGGCCTGGGTTGATGGAAGGAGGAACCCTTGGTAGTGCGCTGCCAGCTTCCGCGGTGCGTTGTCGCGGCTCCTCATTGGTGAGAATGGCACCTGGAGCGGCCATGGAGGCCATACGGACAGGTTGACATGAGCGTCCCCGGAGATGTTACTACGTGCCTGTTGGGTGCAGGGGGCCAGGCGCAGGTCGGAAGGTGGCAGGCCGGTTTGGAGTCTGGCAGCCGCATGACTGCAGCGTTGTGATGTGCATCTGCGATGCACACCGAAGAGCGCCGCGGGTGCTTATCCCCATCCCACCTTCCCTTCCCTAAGGGCGGGATCAGGGTCAGGACCTGCAGCGCTCTGTCCGCTCCGTCTGTCAGTCTGTCACATCTGCAGACTGGGCTTGGCACACACTTTCGTGGCACTGAGTGCCTGTCAGCCAGCACGCTGGGCTCAAAATGCGGCTGTTGGTGGGTGTGTTGCGAACTGGAGCGGCCGCGGAATTCATACGCACACATTGATTCAGCCCGTCGCAAGGCGTACCAGGAGGTGCTGCTTTTTGCAGGGCAGGTGAAGGCAACACGGATGTGATGCCATGGACGGCAAACAGCCTCAAGCAATCTCGGTATTGCCAGTAAGGCTGAGGTACACTGGGTACGTGACTTTTCTTGACGCCAGTCGTTGTTGCAGTCATACCAAACCCGTTGATCAGCCTGAAGGTCGATGCAACCCAATCGTCGCTTTCCCTCATCATGAACACAGTGCAGTCGCCGCACTGCAGTGCTTCAACTTTCATGTACCAACGCATCTTCCTGGTGCAGGCGCGGCACGTATTGACGCCTGAGAATCGCGCTTAATGGAATCGGTGCAGTTCAACTGAACATGACTTGGTCACAGCTATTGTGAAAGAGAACATTTTCCACCTTGAAGGACCCCATCATTATGTCTCAACGGCGCGGAGCTTGCTCACAGCTGGCCTACATAGGTGCAAATACTCAATGATGCTCCTGCGCATTCTTCTGCGTTGTCAGAGATTTCAACGTCCCATACGTGCATCTATGCTGACCTGCTATTCCACTGCGTTTGGCGACCCAAACATGGATCCGGTTCAGCGCTGCAACCAGCTTTGGAATCGTCACAGTAGCATCCCTGCGAGCGAACTGGAGCTCATCAACTCGTGAGTTCAAGATGCTACAAAATCCTGATGCCCTGGCGACAGCATGGAGTACGTTCCTGTGCCGATCCTTGCTGGTGGTCAGCTCGTGCTCAGGCCTTGGACGCCTCTAGTACGGAGAAAGCCACCTTCAGGGGTCTGGTGCATCCTCTGGGTGTGTTTCCCTGCCAGACAGCCATGGCCCACTCCGCGTCATCTTCGCTTCTCATCGCCACGAATCCTTCAACGTCGATATCACCATTTTCGGATCTCACTAGCTTGCAATCTTCCACATCCCCGGTGCCTTTAAACACGTCCTCCAGATCCTTTTCATCCCATTCCGGCGGAAAGCCGCTGATCCGCAGCTCATATCGCTCCGGTCTCCTTGACCCGTTCTCCCCCTCTTCCAGCCCTCGTGTCTCGGCAAGCATCTGTCCCCTTTCTGCCTCGCTGGCGGGCCCCACTTCTAGAGTTTTATCGCCATAGGCGCAGCCGCTCAACTTTGAAATGCCGTCCAGGGCCTGCTCCACTGTCTTGAATTCCACAAGGCCCAGCTGCGCGCCCTCGTCGCAAGAAGGAACTAGTCTGCGCGCTGCGACGGCTCCTCTGTTCTGGAAGAACTCCCTCGTCTCCACTTCATCAGCCAAGCGTGGGACGTGTTTCGCGCACAGGGAGCGCGCACGATGAGCCTCAGGGACGCCTTCTTGGGGAATGAATGGGACATACGCCCGGAGCTCTTGCTCCAACACAGGTTCTTGCGCGACTTCCATCGAGAATCTTATTCCCATCCGGAGACACCCCAGGTTGTACCCGTTCCTGGCCTCGATCGCCGCTTGGGCGTCCCTCCCGGTGGCGAATTCCACAAACCCGCATCTTCCACGTGACTGACTGGTCTCCGACTTCACCCCACAGGACGTAATCCTGCCGTAGGGCCGGAACAAGTTCTCCAGTGTTGTCTCGCTGACCCACGCATCCAAGCCAGTGAGCTCGAGCTTGGTGCAACTGACAAGAGACTCCTGAGAAGCATCAAAAGCAGCAGAGTAATTCTGGTTGCCCATATTCAACTCAATTACTGCATATAGCAACAAAAATGTTGTCTGTTTCTGGGTCCCATGACCATTGGAGAAGTTGCGTGTGTGCCTGAATATGAGGAGGCCGTGCCCTGGGGCCCGGAAGCCCTATGCACGTGATAAATGTACAAGGATGTGTGTTGAATAGGGAAAGCGTCATGTTAATCCAATGTTAATATCCAATAGAATATATGCAATAGAACATATGCCCGAAAGCAGCAGTAGCGAGCTGTATGTGGATATTCGGAATACCGATACATGGATGACCATACATGGATAGGCATATATTAGGCCATTGCCTGACTCATATCCAAAATATGGAATGATGCTCAACGCGCTACTGAGAGGATCTACAGATTTTTGCAGCAAGAGTCAGAAACAAAATGTAGCTGGGAAGGAAATGTCATTTTTCTCTTAGAACGAAAAGGCAAGGGACCAGGGTGTGACCATGAATGCTGTCGGCAAATTTGACAGGAATGTGTTAAGCGTCGATGGCAGAATGTGCTGCCATCTGGTAATTCGATTGAGAATACAACTACCATTTGTGTGCTCAATGTACACACGTAATTACTGAGGTCCCGAACCCCCCTTGCTCGATTGTAGATCAATTGATCAAACAAGCCGCTGCGCTTGATCACGCTTGAGCTTGAAGCCCTTGAGCTCACACAGATTCCGACTCTGCAATTTGAGCAGCTGAACTTATAAAGCTCCTTCGTTGCAGCATTCGTTCATGTGTGATCTTAGAAATCGTGTTTCCAACTTCATGCCATCCACATCCATCTTGACGGAACTACGCTGAGACATCCGTGACTAAACAGGTGACGAGAGACAATCTGTATGATGCAGTTCTGTTTTCCTACATTATTTCCTGGGCAATATATGTTGGAAGCAGAATATAGATCAATACACGAACACAAGCAGAGCCTCCATCTCTCGCTCTTACCTCGGAGGGCTGTTTAGAGCGTTCAAGTTGAATATCACCAGGGGCATCCGTTGGATTTAAATTAACTGCTTTTTCCGCTTCTTCACGAAACCCCGGCAAGGCAGGATTTGCAGCGGCGTGTGAGGATGAGCAAGACACTGCAGTTGTCGGAGATGTGACTCTGCCTTGTCCCACACATCGGTCCATGCCGTCTGCGTCATGAATATCCCCAGCTTTTGCAGCTGTGGTGGAGACAAGAGAATCGTTTGCAAATTCGTCCAAGTGGCCTTTGGGGCTGGCGACGGACGACTGCAGCGCCACCAGATCGCAAACTGCGTTTTGAACTCTTTCCAGCGACGTCTCGTTCAGTCGAGCATCCACGGAAACAGCGTAGCATCTCTTTCGCAGTCTGAGAATCTCGGCGGCGGTCTCATCGATAAAAGGTAGCACTTCTTCCTGGGGCCATTCCAACACCAAGTGCACTGTGAGAGTGTTTTGTGAGCTGGTGTAGCGAGGGGAGCTTCAACCTGTGGTACAGCACACCTGAAGATTCCAGTGAAGACTGTGGATATTGTCGGTTGCCGGAGGCCATCAAGATTGTTGCTTCTATTCTTGATGTGAGGGTAGGACGTGGCAACAGCTGCGGCATGATACCCTCAACACAAGTGTGGGGAACGCACAATTTAATCGTAGCGAGCATTGACGAGCACATCAGTTCTATATCGCATATCAGACTCATCTGCGCTGCAATATTCGTCCTGGTGGTCTGCGCAATACAAGATGCAGGGGCATTGATACTGGAGCAGAAGCGTCTTTTGCAGACTTGAAATTGTGCAACAAACGCTGCATTGCAATTCCAGGTACTGTTGGTAAGGGGCATCTGGACATCGCGTCTTAGTCCTCGAAGGATTCCATCTTTAGCTCATGGCATCGGTCATATGAATCAATACATGTTCCACATATGACATCAGACGCGCATTGTGCGATAGGGTATCGCCAATTTTATCCATGGTCCCATATTTGCATTTGTCCGTTGAACCTTTGAATGGCTCGTACTTGGAACCCCGGCGTTCAGTTACAGCGCTCTGAACATAGGCTGACGTGTGGAAATGCTCTGCAGGAAACGCAGCTCTATGTTTGTTCCATGGTCTCAGTGCGCGCTCAATGGTTTGTGCTCAGACCGCAAGCCTGTGCCTATATGAGCTCCAAGTAAGCTATCTAATGCTGGAGCGTTCAAAAGCATCGATGTGGATAATAGCGCTTATATTCGGAGATCATGCAGCGTAGAAACGCCGAGCCTTGCCATCTGAGTCCCAAGCGAGATGTCTGCTAATCTGCATATGAGTACGAGTGCTCATAGCATGCAGAATCACAATCAGGGACCCGACATGAGCCACCCTTTCAGGCAAGTGTTCGCCCAATTCACAAAATCCACGCTATGTACCAAATTTGTAAGCTTATTAAATGGGCAATTACCCAATCAATTCTCCAATTAGGTGGAATACAAGCATGTACACTTTCACCACTTTGTTTCCACCGATTTGTCCAAAACGGCATTATTCGTCTTTTCCACTTCCCACCCAGGAAATGACTTCCCTGGCGCCTCATCCCAGGCAGCGATTGCCAATAGTTAGGTAATAGCAGTATCTCAATAATCAAGTTCGGCAAATGTAATGTAGCAGCATAGAAAATGCAATCGAAGCAATGACGCCTCTTCACCTGGGTACAGAATGATCAATATTCGATGGTTCTCCTCAAATCGTGATGGTGTGCATTTCTTCGTACCGCTCCAATCGCTTCCCTTCTAGCTCCAAATCGCACTGTGCTGCTCTGAATGCACTCGCAACACCCCCGAAGCTTACGCTGGTGCCGAGTTCAGCGTCATTCATCCCAATGACTTCCTGAGACCCCGAGAGTACCCGTTGGAGCCCTGCAATGCGCAGATTCAGTGCCAGCACGCTCGTCTATCGGTTATCTTCACAGCTTGGAAGGTAACATGAACTGCACACGACCAACGTGCAGCATTCTCAAGACACTGGCTTGGCAGCGTGAATGACCGGCTTGTGTTTTTCGTCGGGATACGTTGTTGGTGGCCGTTACCCGTGTCACTGATCAACCCAGCGTCGCTTTGTACTCTGATAGCCAGGGACAACCACTGACGAGCTGCAAATGGTGGCAATATTGGTTGCACTGTGCAGGCCAGCGTTAAGCCTTCACGTGCTGTTGAACGAGGGTGTCTTTGAAAGCAAGGAAGCGGAATGACGTCGTCCTACATGTGTCCATGCATGCTCAAAGTTTATCAAGTATACAAAGGAAAGCTCTCCACTCCTGCAAAATAACAAAACAGACCGACCAACAAAACAGCAGAAGCCCTGGTAATTGTCCCAGGGCATACGCCTCTTGGGCAACGGATGGAGAAACCAGAGGTTGTGCTGTTGGACCAACAGGGTTGTGCAAGGACAGGCTGCAGTGTTTCAGGTGTAGATAGGGAGCAAGTGGGGCCGAACCCCACCTTCGATCATTTCTGCCAGCCACCGGAACACAGACTGAAAATCCAGTCTCACGGCATCTGCCAGGACGAATTCCGCTATGGCACTCATGGAGCCCGCCCGAGCAGTCAGGCGCTCCGCTTCTCGCAGTGCAGCTTTGAGTCTCTGGAATGCTACCAGCACCCTCACGGGCTGCTGCACCCGGGTATCTGCGAGCCTTCGAACCAGCGGTACCATCTGCTGAACATTGTTCTTGAGCAGTGAACACTTCAGCGGATGTGTCTGCGCTGGGCACTTCCGCATTGACTCTATGACGTCCAACACACCCCTCCCTATCGATAGCATGTCCAACATCCTGCCTGCCGCAGGGTCCCACAAAGTTGCGTCTGTCAGCCCCAACAGGAGAAGTGGCTTGCCACAAAGGTTGAGAATAGAGTTGGTGTTTTCGTTCAAGAGCTTTCGAAGATTAGGTCGTCTGGCCAAACATCGCTGCCGCCAGTTTTGTAGCCACTTGTGCGGCAGTACGGCTGGGTGCCACTGTCCAAACAACGGCACTATCTTGGAAGCCTGAAAATGCTTCCCGCTGAATGAACGTCCCTGCGATGGTGAACGTTGCCATGGGCCAGACCACGACCCTGGCCTGTACTTGAGACCACAGTTCACCCGACTCTCTTATAGGTACGCCGGCCACAGAGACAAAAAATGTTGATCATGTAACCGGCTTTGTTTCTTCAGCAATCTTTCTGGAAGGATCCGCTGCTGCTTCTGATTGGCACCGACACCAAATCCCAGCCAGTTCAATTGCTCTCTGTGTCCAGGAGCGGAAACAGTGCCTCTACCGAAAGAGCGCCATGAGCGTTGCGTCTGGCGAGCTTTGCAGAAACAGATCTAAGCGACGCGTGCCTGGCGGACGTCGGTCGGCAGAATCGGGCAGCCTGGGCGCCCCCGCTGGGACGGTGGCGCATCAATGGGCCTCACAACGGACGCGGCAATGGCCCTGGCTGCCGCCGACTGAGCCGCCATCCGTTCCGCGATCAGCAGCCTGGGGTTCAAGGCACGGGCACCATCTAACGAGCCCCATGATCAAGGAACACTCGACCCTGAAGATGGCACGAAACTTCAGACATCCCTCGAAAGGATGGTTTGTGGCGGGCGACTGCGCTGCCCCACCTGCCGCCGCACCTCGCGCTCCGCGAGTCGCACCAACAGAAAGGACGCCAGCCAGGACGGTTGGCAGCAATCGCGTGGGTGCGGTGCGGTGGGTTGCAGGAGGAGCTCTTGTGCAGATATCGCACTGCACCTCTTGCAGCACTTCACCACCTTCCATCCTGCGACCCGCGTCAGCCAAACACACGGAAAACGCAAGCAGCTGCTTGCGTGGCACGGCCGACCGCGCCAGCAATGTTGGCACGGAAATTGCGAAACAACGGCACAGTGCTTGTCCACGTTGCTACAAATCTGGCTTTGGGTATCAAAGTAACAAGTGCTGCAACCTGAATAGTGCGCCAGTCTCGCCGATCTGAGATCAGATGCCGCTTCAACATTGTACAGCGTGCGCGTCACATGGCATATGCGGAGCCGAACGTGGGCACTCGGGACTGAGGCAAAGTGCAGTTCAGGTTCTGTTCTCCCTGTGCTGTGAAGATGCCCTGAAGCAGGTGGGAAGTAAAGTGCTTATCAAGAGTCCTCGACGCAGGCACGGCCTATTGAGGGCAGCATCGAGAGCTGGACGCCGATCTCTCGGAACTAATCTTTAATATAATGGCTTAATCTAATACTTGTGTCGAGGGCTTGTAGCTCAGATGGTAGAGCGCTCGCTTTGCATGCGAGAAGTCTGGGGATCGATGCCCCACAAGTCCACTTTCGCTGCGCGAATTGGTTTTAGCTGCCTCGCGTGCGCATCCCTCCTCCACCAACGTGGACTGCCGGACCGACAGTCCACCCTCCGGAACACCGCTTCGCGTCCTTTCGCATCCTGCCAGGGTCTCTCCCGCGACAGCTGCGGCTTTGTGCCTGGCGCCCATGCACCCTTCTGCTGTCAGATCCGCGGTGGCCAACCCCGGTATTGACGCCGTAACCGCCGCAAACACCGTGCCCAGACCCCTGGGCCCAGCAGCTCATCCAGATGGGGTGCCGGTGGCAGCTAGGGTCGCGAAGCGCTCTCCGGAAAGTCCATTTTGGCCATTATGCACAGGAGCGGCTCGCTCTGTTGGGCCACTCTTTTGCCTGCGGCTGTCGCTTGCACATCGCGCTGCACATCAGCGTTCAAGGGCTCTTGCAGCAAGATTGCCGGCGGCAGGGAGACGCGCTGCGCTTCTACCACGCCGTTTATGGCGTACACGTGATGAAGGGATAGGGACCGGCACTCTCGGCAGCGCGACGAGCCCTTGGGCTTCAAGCAGGTGGCCATCTGCTGTGACAAGTTGAGGAAAGCACCATATGGCCTACCAGTGGCTTCAGCCTTCAAGAGCTCTTGAAGCAAGATTGCCTGCGGCGGAGAGACGCGATGCGCTTCTACCACGCCGTTTATGGCGTGCTCGTGATGAAGGGAGAGGGCCCGGCACTCTCAGCAGCGCGGCGAGCCCATAGGCTTGAAGCAGGTGGCCATCTGCGTTGACACGTTGGCGAAGCTCTGCAAGATCTGCAGCACCCGAGATGCCGACTGCAGCAGTCCGGGATGCCGGGCCCCGTCGTTGGCGGGAGGGGGGAGCGGGAGAG